CTTAATGCACTTTAAATTTTCTATTTCTGGGAGAGATTATATAGAATTTGTATTATTTCTTTTTTAAATTTGTATTATTTCTAAGCTCAAGCACTATGGTGTCTGACCCTAGGATTTTCTTTGATGGAAAGTTTTTAATAATACTGAATTTAACATATCAAAATGCATCAACTATAATTACATTTTGAATATTTATACATTTAATATTTATATATAATATAAATTATATTCTGTGTAATTAAATATTATGTTATATGTATGCATGCTTATGTTAAGAAATAGTTGCATTTTATCTAAGATGTTGAATTTATTGGAATGGAGATTTTCATAGTAATACCTCATTACCTTTTCCATACCTCTGATATTGATGGCAATGTACTTTTTATTGCTCATACTGATAATTTGAAAGTTTCTCTCTTTTTTCCTCCCATGTGTGTGAATGTGCCTTTGTATTCAATCTACTAAGAACTTTACAAATTTTACTGCTATTCTGAAAAAAAACAGTGTTTGATTTCTTTTGTTTTCTCCATTTTTGTTTACAATTTTACTATTCCTGCTCTATAGGATTTTTTTCATTATGTTTGCTGTAGATTAAATTTCTTATCTTTTCTTGGTTGTTCCCATTCAAATGCCTATATCAAGGGCCTGGCTCTTCATTATTTCTAATGTATGAATTAAATGCTATAAATTTCCTTGTACATATTATTTAGATACACCACTCAGTTAAGGATTGTCTGTGTTAGTATAAAAATATATGTATATACATGTGTTTATATATGTATATATGTGTATATATGTATATGTATATCACATACACACACATAGATATCTATACTTCTTACATATAACCCTAAAAATTGTCCATATAACCTAAAGGTATCTACAAACTCCATGTAATTCTTATGAAAGTTGAAATGACATTTTTCACTGAAATAGAAAAAAAATGTGATATTCACAGAAGATAACTAGAGACCCCAGATGATCAAATAAATCTTGAACAAAATGAACAACCTGCCCAACCTAACATATACTGCAAATCCATAATAATAAAAACCTAATAGTACTGATGGGAAAGTAAACACCAATCAATAGAATACAATAGAGAGCACAGAAATAAATCCATGTACTTGTAGTTAACTGATGCTTGACAAAGTTACTGAGAATACACAGTGAGGAAAGAACAGTCTTCAGTAAGTGGATCCAGAAAATATAGATAGACATATGCAGAAAAATGTAAATAGACCTCTGTCACTCAGCATACACAAAGAACAATTCAAAATGGGGTAACTATTTAAAACATAAGAATTGAAAATGTAAAACTTCTAGAAGAAAGCATAAGGTAAAAGCTCCTTGATATCAGTGTAGATAATTAATTTTTGGATGTGAGCCCCAAATCACAAGAAACAAAATCAAAAGTAGACAAGTGGGATTGTAACAAACTAAAAATATTCTTTATAACAAAGGCAATAATTGACAAAATGAAGAAACATCTTATGGAATAGGGAAAATACTTGTAAATTGTACATCTGATATCAGATCAATATTAAGGAAATAAATACCTCAATTAAAAACTGGAAGAGCACTAAATAGATATTTCTCAAAAGAGGAAATAAAAAAGCTCAAGTATATAAAAATGCATCCAATCATTAATTTTCAGGTAAATGTAAATTAAGTCCATAATGAGTTGCCAACTTATTCTTGTTAGAATGCCTATTAACAAAAAAGATGAAAGTAACGTGGAAAGAAGCTTACCTGTACACACCGTTGGTAGGAATGTACATTAGGGCAGGAGTTGGGTTAAGCAAACCCAACTTCATAAAACTAAATATAATACATAATAAATTAGATAAAATATATATACTGGGTATATTTCCAAAACATATTAAATCAATAAATTGAAGAAAGATTTAAAATCCCATTTGTACTGTAATTCTATTCACAGTGGCCAAGATATGGAATTCAACCTATGTGTCTATTAACAAATGAATGGATAAAGAAATTGTGGTACATACATGCAGTGGACTATTATTCAGGCTTAAAAGAGGATGAAATCCTCTTTTAATTATTCATCTCAATAATAATTAATCAAATAATCTTTAATTTATTACAAGAAGAATAAAGCTAGAGGATATTTTGTTAAGGAAAAAAAAAACTAAACACAGAAAGACAAATACTACATAATCTAACTTATATATGTATATGGAATCTTAAAAAGTCAAACTCATAGAGAGAGTAGAATGATGATTTCCAGAGGCTGGGATTAGGGAGAGTTTGATGAATACAAAAAAATTCATTATATAACAGGAATAAATTCAAGAAATGTACCACACATTATGATGACAATAATTAAAAACTATACCTTGTACTCTTGAAAAATTTTCACCACAAAAATAATTATCTGAAGTAATGTGTGTGCTAATTTAGCCATTTCATAATGTGTACCTATATTAAAATATCATGTTGTACATCACAGATACATGTATTTTGTCACAAAATAAAAACATAAAATAAATATTTATGTTTAGTAGCAAAAGTATGAACATCATATAAAAGTCAGATAATTTACTGATAGTTCTTTCTACAGCCTCCTACAACCTACAACCAGAATATTGGCTTTTGTCTTCATAATCTCACTAATTTGACCAGTGAAAAGTGGTGTGTCATTTTCTGAAATGTTGGAAGGGATATTTTAGCAATCTCCATTGGTGTCTTGTTTCAAGTCTCTGAGGAATGCAGTAACAATAAATTAGTTTTTTCCTCTGTGTCTCTTATCAACAGATAAATTTAAATTCTGTTGTCTTTTGAATTCAGAGCACAAAATAGTATCACTGGATGGTCAAGATTAGCATACAGGATTTTTTAACAGTGTTGCTTCTGAAGTCCAGGTGCAAACTGGTAGGTGGTCATGGCTCTGGTGTACTACTCTATAATTTTGAATGTGTCCATAAGTAATAAAATACAAATGTCAAACAAAAACTGAGGGGAGGTCAGGGTCAAGGTCAACTTAACTGGAGTAAAATAGATAATGTTACAATTTGAAAATCTTTGCAAAAATTTGTATTTTTGTATTGGAAGGTAAAAATGTCCAAAAATCCAGACAAAATAAGTCATACTTAGAGAAAAGGAATGTAGGTATTTTTAATTGTTTGGTTACAATGATTAGATCAAAAGATCACACCCAGAAAGCCATAGCTAAATATAGGAGAACAAGTACAATGAACAAAGATTCACAATTGTGAGAAAAATCAACTCTCTCCACATGGAAATTTTATTACCATTGAATTTCTCATCACTCTGAAAGATGGAGTCAAACAAAATGGTTAGCATATGGACCACTGAGGATAAATATTTGCCTTGTGGTTGTATCTATGCATATTAAAGGGCATACTTTACATGCTTCTTATAGTTAGTTAACTATACTATAGTTTTTACTTTCTTTGGTGCTAGAGACTGAACTAAGAGACTTGAGGATACCAGGCAAGTACTATACCACTGAACTACATCTCTAGCCACTTATTTTCACATTTTAAATTGTGGTGTTTTACCTTTACTAGCTGAAATGTTCAAATAATAATCATATATATGTAATTTTCTTCCTCAGTAATTAAAATTATGTCTAGTTCTAGCACTCTGATAAAGATAAGAAAAATTCTAGACAGGAACTACAAGCTAGTAATAATTGAGTAACAGATCTACATCAAGGTAAAAGGAGAGATTCTGGACTAAATTGTTTGATGTAGACAGAGTCCTGGCTTCATTCAGTGCATTCACTGTCTAGCTTAGCCAAGGCCACATCTTTGACTTATATTCAACCTGCAAGAACTTAAAGCTAAATGAACCTTAGAGAACAATGATTGTGAAGAAAGGAAGTTCCAAACAGGCAAGTGAGTTTTATAAAGACTGTTCATACAGCGTGGCAACATTTTTCTTTGTTCTTCTTTATATTTTTGCTTTCTGTAAACAAAATATAATGATTGACATCACTCTTTATACCTTTTGGAGAGAGACAAATTAGGTAACACTATAATGATCAGCTTTGCTACATCCTATTAATTTATTCATTTTGTTCAGTGCTGACTTTAAACTCAGAACATGCCAGGTAAATGCTCTAGCACTGAACCACAACCTCAGCCTACATCCAAGTCTTAACCATGGAGATTTTGGAATATCTACTACCCATTATATGTGAAAATATATGCAGTAAACATTAGTATCATATATAAATGGTCTTTTGATCCAGTTTTGCAACAGTTACATAAGAATGTATAGCACACATTTATTTTGCCAGCCCCATTAACTAAGGAGTAAAGAACATGTGGAATGAGAGTTTTAGGTGTTAAATAAGGGTTATTCAACTCTAAAACTGTAGTCATTCCTGAAAAATTGGTAACCTCAAGTACCAATATTACTTTTCCAACATTTAATTTTGTACCAACAATATAGGAATGTTCTCTTATTAGTGCTCTGTAGTTCCCTTCAGAAATGTTTATTGCACATTTTATCTCAATAACTTTAAAAAAATATTTCAAAGTAATCAGGCTTTTTTAGTGTATACTGAGGATTTAACAAATGTGTCTGTCAACATACTTCCTGAGAGTTACAAAAGTTGAGAACTTACTCCATTGTTGGTTTTCTACAGTCTTCCTTATCTCTCTAACAAAGTGTTCAGCTAATCTTATCTGGAGCTGAAAAAGAGGTGAGGCAAAGTATACTCACATGTACTGACTTTGCTTCATATTAAGAGGCAAATCTGATCTAATTAGCAACATGTCCACTACAATTTTACCTACTATTTTGTCCTGTGAAATATCTTAAACTGAAAAATATGGAGGGATATCTGTAAATCAGCTATATTTCCAAAAGTATAGAAAATCCTTTTGATTCTTTGAATAAATAATCAAATTCATGAGTAATGCTTAAGTCATCACCTTATTATTCTCTAAGATTTCCTGTTTTCCCCTCTTTTAGACAACATCTTAGAAACTCATGCAAATGGATAAATGGATATGTTAAATGAAAATTCAAATATTTCTGAGTTTATCCTTCTGGGACTTTCCAGTTCTCAAGAAACTCAAATATATTTTTTTGTTATCTTCTTTCTTGTCTATGTAGCTATTATAGTGGGGAATCTCCTAATTGTGATCTCTGTGATATTTGATCATCGTCTTCACTCTCCTATGTATTTCCTTTTAGCAAATTTATCATTTTTTGATTTATGTCTTTCCTCTGTGGCAACTCCCAAAGTGATTGCAGACTTCCTTATAAAATGTAAGTCTATCTCATTATGGGGCTGCATGGCCCAGATGTTTCTTATGCACTTCTTTGGGGGTGGTGAGATGTCTCTCTTAATAGCCATGGCCATAGACAGGTATGTTGCCATATGCAAGCCCTTGCACTACAAGACTATCATGAACCACAGGATGCTTATACTGTTTCTTTTGCTCTCATGGACAATTGGGTTCATACATACCACAAGTCAAATGGTTTTCATAGTGGGTTTACCTTTCTGTGGTCCAAATGTTGTAGACAGCATTTTCTGTGATCTCTCCCTCGTCATCAAGCTTGCTTGCACTGAGACCTATATCTTGGAGCTCTTGGTGATTGCAGACAGTGGGCTCCTGTCCCTGGTCTGCTTTATTCTGTTGCTCATATCCTATATTATCATGTTGGTCACCATCTGCCAGCATTCCTCCAGTGTACCCTCCAAGGCTGTGTCCACATTATCTACTCATATCACAGTAGTAACTCTCTTCTTTGGCCCAGCTATCTTCATTTATGCTTTTCCATTCAAAAGTTATTCTGTAGATAAATTTCTTTCTGTGTTTTATTCTGTAATCACACCCTTTCTTAATCCAATTATTTATACACTAAGGAATCAGGAAATGAAGGCAGCCATCAAGAGACTAAGCAGCCAACATATTGGTTACTGCTTGGCCCCTTAAATATTTGTAATATCTGATTTTATGTATATCTTCTGTTATTTGGGTGTTTTGAGTGTTAAACATTTATTCAAATAATTAAAATGAAAATATAAAATAATATCAAGGTTATTTTCTCAAAATTCCTGGAATTAGTAAGATATTCTTGATTTAAAAGTTTTAATAGAAAATGTTCATAGCATCAATGTAATTCCTAAAAATGCCAGTGTTTTTGTATGTCTTTTTTCATAGAATACTTATAATGCATAAAGATATATTTCTTATGTAATTTTTATAAGGATTCAGGGAATCAAGATGTAAACCAGGAAATTTTAATAAAATAACAGATGGTATTTAACATAAATTTTCATTTCTAAAGATGTGTTTTTTACTTAATGTGTGTTTAAAAATGTTTATCAATGTATGTCAATCTTATGAAAACTTATCCATTGTATTGGAAAGTGAATTATGATTTATTGAGCATTTTTTAAAATTCTGTGGCCTCAATATGGCAAGTGTACTTAGTAGAACGAAAAAATTGTCTCAAAATATATTTCAAGTATTTCTTTGAGTTCCCAAATAGTTTTATAGAATACAAAAAATTGAAATATTAAAAATAAAAACCATATCTGTTACTCCTCTTTCTATACCAAACAATAGCAATTGTTTAATATTCTTTTAACAGAATTCAGTAGTTCATGAAACTTTTAAAATATTTACTAAGTAGTAGACTCTTTTCCATGCAAAACAATATATTGCTCATGAAAACATGTATTGTCCCTGTCCCAAGGTTAATAACAGATTAGAGTTCAGGGGGAAGATATTTATAATTAGGCATGATGGTCCCAGAAAACAAATCTAAAGAGCAGACATTTAAACCAAGGCATTATCATCAGGTAAGCTGAAGAAGAGAGTGCCAGAATGTAGGGCCAGTCTATCCAGATAGTGTAGAGTGAGGTAGAGCTTGTGGCTCTACCTTTGTGAAGGAAACTGATGAATCAAAATGAACATGCTTAATGCTGAGATTTTATAGAAGGGAAAACATTAGAGTATACAAGTATAGCTGATGCTTTTTAAATAAAAAATGTAAAGTGTTTTGGTAATGGAAGTGTTTAGAGTCAATGAACTTTAAAGTCCAGTATAGCTGCATTCTCTGAACTAAAAAAATAAATATTAGGACAGTGAAAACAGAGACAAAAGTAGGCTGTTAACATAGTCCAAACTTATTAATCAATACTAATTGTTTCATCGAAACTTTACAATGAACGTCATCATCAAAGCCAAATACAAACCTAAAATTATGCAAATCTCTACCAGGCCCATCTTCTGGGGGAATATCTAATACTGAGCAAATCCAATTTACCTATGTTCCCCTATTACTCTAAATATTAAATCATTTTCCCTAATTAAATTTGGCAGTAGACCATTTTAGAATTTCATCTTTATTCTGGAAAATTCTGTGTATGCTATATTTACAACTTGGCATGTATAATCTAGTCTGCTCACAAAATATGTGCACATACAATTTTTCTAATTTCAATATTTGTTTATTTACTGAGGCATATATATCTTTGGCACAGATATTTCAAAAATGCTGTTTTCATGGCAATTCTGATTGAATACTGATGTCTTGGTGAGGTATTACATTGAGGAAATAAGCCCTCTGAGGCTCAAGTCAAAAGTGAGGAATCTGCTAACAATGAGTTTCAGAAGTTTTGTCAAGTGTTTCTAACCTCGGTTCTTTGCTATTTCCTTCAAGAAGGCTATAATTGTTTGTGGGAAACTCTCAGGACCCCCAAATCCTCTTAGAAAGGAGTGGAATCACTGTATCTTTTGTGCAAAATCCCTAAGAGGGATTGCAACAGTCCAAAAGGATAGTTGCTGAACAACCCTGTTCTCTCTGAGTGGGACTGGGAAAACCTTTCCCTAGAACCTGTTGTTCCACACTTGGGGACAAGGGTAACCTGGGGACTGCCATGTACTCCTTCCTGCTTGTCTGCACTGCTTAAATACACTCTTCAAAAAATAAACTATGCCATTGCTGCCCAGCACAACCCTGAGTTATTTGCTGCTTGAGCACCTAGGCCCAGAGTCGAAGCCCCTGCTGCAGCTGGACTGTGGCAAGTGGTGCCATGACTCTGATTCAATCTAAACATCTTGGCAGTATAATTCAAGGAGGAACAGGGTCACTATGGAGCCCCAATCCAAGGTGTCACAAACCGTAAGTTAGGGGATGGAATGGGGAACTCACTGAGTTCAGAACATAGGCATTTCTTACAGCTACTGTACTGTGTGCTAAAAAGTAAGGGTATATCTTACACCCAGAGACAAATTGAAGATTTTATAGAGACAGTTATCTGATTTAATCCTTGGTTTCCTGAGCGTGGAACTTTGGATCCTGATAGCTGGAAGGAGATAGGAGAAAATGTAAAAAGAGCTCACTAAGGAGGGGAAAATATTCCTATTCATTTTTTTGACATGTGGTCCTCTATTCATTATTGCTTGGGACCTCTAGCAGATCCTTCTAAAGAGGATCATGAGTCAAGTCTTCTGGAGAACAGTAAAGAAGACAATAAGAAAGATAATAAGAAGAACAATAAGGAGGAGGAAAAGCCTCCCCCACAAAAACATGTAAAATTTAAGTTTTCCTTTATGGAGGATTCTGCACCACCTTATGCTGGCCTTTACCCATCATTGGACCCATTTCAATTTGACCCTTAGACCAGTGCTATACCTAAGGCAAGAACAAAATGGAGAGGAAAATGAAGTTTCCCTAGAAACAACTTTAGGCAACTCTTATTGAAGGATGGGAATAATGACCATTATCCTCCACCTTTGGCTCTTTCATCTTCAGAGAACCATCTAGGCCTTCCAGTCATCCTGGGGCCTCAGGGACAATGAGAGCATGAGCCCATTTCTCTTGAGGTACTTAGAAGATTTGATGATTCAGTCAGGGAGAATGGGGCTAATGGTTCCTACACTCTTACTCTATTAGAAAATCTGAGTTGAGAAATTTATACACCATGGGACTACAAGTAGTTAGCCTGAGCTTGCCTTAGCCCTGGTGATTTCCTTATATGGAAAGCAAAATATTATAATGAATGTGATGGAAAGGCATAAAGAAATAGGGATACAAGGGTTCCTTTAACTGAGGACAAACTGCAGGAGGTTGGCCCATTTGTCGATGCCTTTCACCAGATGAATGGCATGCCCCAATATTTTGATCAGGTAAGACTTTGTGCCAAGAGAGCTTGGAGTAGCCTCCCTGACTCATGTAGAGAATCAACTGAAAGTATCTTGCAACTAAAACAAAAGGCCAATGAGCTGGGCTGAATTCTTGGCTCATGTAAAACATGCCATCAGCTGCAAAATTCAACATGCAGATGCACAAAGTTTCTTTGTTCACTAAATTGCATATGAGGGGCTACCAAAGAATGCAAACAAGCTATCAGAACTGTAAAGAATGGAGATCTTTCTACTTGGGTTTCTGCTACCCAGGATATTGGCACCCAAACCTATATGGCCACCGCTCTTGCAGCCACCCTAACAAAAGTGAGCCCTACTCTCTCCCAGACTACATGCTTTGGATGCAGACAAAAAGGCCACTGGAAAAGGGACTGCCCTGAGGGCAAAGGTTACCAGGGCCAAAAGCATGTCCCACCAGGAGGAAAACCTTCTAAAATGTGCCCACAATGCAATAAAGTCTATCATTGGGCTAAAGACTGTAAGTCCAAATATCATGCTGATGGGAGACCTTTAAATGGGACTGGGGGCAGCCTTCAGCCCCACCCTAAGAAGGAACAATTTCCTGCATCCAGTGGGAAAACTTCTGGTGTTCAGGATTTAATCTCTTGGTTTTAGAGGCATTAACCATCTCTCTGGGTAATACAACAGTCCCAGTAACATGTCATTTCTATAACTCCATAAAAGAATTAACAGGAATAATCATGGGGAATGAAAAGTATCTTCTTCAAGGACTAACTGTACATCCTTATTATACTATGTTGCAATCCAAGTCTCCAACAATAGTCTGTGTTTCTAGCTCTAGGCAATGTTTAGGATTAGAGAAAGATGCCAAGATTGCAATATTTTTGCCTTTACCATCTGAAACCTCTCCTCAAATCGATTGGACTCAACCCATTTTTTATCAAAGGCCCTTAGCTACTATCTATATTAGGGGAATAGCTTTTTGAGGTCTTCTAGACACAGGAGCAAATCAGAGTGTTATCCCTCAATCATTACTACTTAAACATTAGGGAACAAAAAGAGGAACTACAGTACAAGGAGAAGGGGACCACAATTAGCCAAAATTAGTACAGAGGTACTCCAATGGGAAGATGAAGAAGGCAATTCAGGGACTTTTCAGCCTTTCATAATTACAGGACTGCAATTGTACTTATGGGGGAGAGACATAATGCAACAATGGTTCATGACTCTTACCACACACAAAGCTCAACCTTGGGAGAAGGCTCTTTCCCAAGCTCAACAAGATAGGACAGTCATGAGGCCTTGGGGGCAGGCTCTTTCCTAACATTCTCCTGTTGCTGTGGCCTTGGTTATACTTGTAACTACCCCCTGCTCCAAGGGGCCACTGATATGAAGTCCTGACCCATAGCTATACCACTTAAATGGTTAATCAATGAGCCTATATGGATTGATCAGTGGCCAGTTTCAGGACAAAAATTACAACAGGCTCATATTTTGGAACAACAATAAATAAAAGCTGGGCATGTAGAGACTTCCAATAGTCCATGAAATAGTACAATTTTTGTAATAGAAAAAAAGGCCAAAGGAAAATATAGATTAATACTCAACCTTTGAGCCATTAATAAAGCTATGCAAACCATGGGAGCTTTACAACTTTGCTTCCCTTCTCCTGCCATAATTCCTGCAGGATTTACAATTATAATTATATATTTAAAAGATTGGTCTTTTACTGTCCCATTATGTGACAATGATAAGTAAAAATTTGCCTTTACATTGCCATCCATAAATAATGAAAAACCAGCTCAATGATTTCAATG